AAGCAATGGGGGAAAGGGGGAACAGGCAGAGGATGGGGCCTGGCAGGGGTCCTGCCATGGTCCCCTACTCCTCCTCCAGCCCCCTCCCTCCCCCACCTCTAGTACTTACCAGCTCCGAGTCCAGCTGCAGCTCCCTGCTGCAGCCACTGGGGGCTGCCCAAATCATCAAAGCTCTCTAAATCTTTGTTGAAGATTCAGAGAGCTTTGAATCGATTTGGACCTTAAAACTGGTCCCCTGATTCGATTCGGATTCGGAGATTCAGCCACTGAATCGGACCGAATCTCCTCCGAATCAAATCACCACCCGAAGCTTTGCATAGCCCTACTACAAAGTACATTACCCCCAAACATCAAGAGCACCTTAACCAGCCCCAGAGGAACGAGGACTGTCACGAGCTGCAGCTGCAAGGGTTGTTAAAATGCACTTGAGATGCCAACCAAATGCCTTTTCAACCCAAATAACCAAGCTGCAGTAAACTTCCAGTGCTTCGCTGGAACCGGGTGGAAGTTAATGGAGTTTTGACAATTGAACGGAGCTGAGCCTCTGCTCCCTGCTGTTAGTGTGGTTACTGATGCTGGTCTCATTCCTCTCTATGCTGGGGTGTTTCCACTTCGATTTCACGGTATTTTGTAATGTGTCGGGAACCTCCCTTTTGATATGTGTTATTCTTTCCAGAAAGTCACATGGGCTAACTAGTGGCAGCTCATACCATCCCACTGGGCACTGACTGCCTGGACTGCCACCAGCCTAACCATATCCTCAACAAGACCCATTTTACAAGAAGCCACATGGGCCCATGCTGCAGAGAGGGAAGTGGAAGAAGGGATTCCCCCATCACAAGGGCTGATGGGGCTGAGCTGGGAAGTTCACATCCAAGCTTCTCCCAAATGCTGAGGCCGGGTCATCTCTGGGATTCTCAGGACTGCTATATTCCAATGACCCCGGGCTGGGCCTAGCATTGACTACTGAGCAAAACTCCCATTAGGCACAGGACCTGGCTGGGGATTTTGCTAGAGTAAGTGCTTCAGGGCCAGGAGCCAAACATTGAAACAATAAGGACTAATGCACTAAATATTTGTGTCTGCCAAAGCATCACTGATGACAACAAAAAGCACACTTAGAGAAAGCTGTAACTGTTAGTAACAGGACATTTAAAAAATATCTATAATTATTTTTATGGGAAACCAGAGTGATTTGCATACTTACTGCACAAGTCTTCATCAAATCGGGCCCTGGGAAGCAAAGAGGAAAAACCAATTACTATAACCTCCCCCGTGAGGTTCAACAGCAACAGGAAGTATATCAGCATTTGCCCCAATGGATCTCAAATTGTTTTACAAAGCAAGATACTTGTGATATTATTTCCCTTTCCCACAACATGCAGACACTTCTGGAGTGAATTAGCTATAGTGTAACTCAGCTCTGTGACTATTCTAATTCATAGATTCATAGATGTTAGGGTCGGAAGGGACCTCAATAGATCATTGAGTCTGACCCCCTGCATAGGCAGGAAAGAGGGCTGGGTCTAGATGACCCCAGCTAGATGCATATCCAACCTCCTCTTGAAGACCCCCAGGGTAGGGGAGAGCACCACCTCCCTTGGGAGCCCGTTCCAGACCTTGGCCACTCGAACTGTGAAGAAGTTCTTCCTAACGTCCAGTCTAAATCTGCTCTCTGCTAGCTTGTAGCCATTATTTCTTGTAACCCCCGGGGGCGCCTCGGTGAATAAAACCTCACCAATTCCCATAAAACCTCACCAATTAATAGTGCAAGCCAAGTAATAAAGCGACATGCCACTAGAGAAAGACTGAGTCGTGCCTGACAGATGGCCATGGCAGTGCTTCCTGGCATTGTTGGAAGACATTTATACCCTATGGTGGGGAAGGCAGCCGAAGAACAGAACATCAAACTGAAGTGTCAAGGGGAGGTTGGCTGGGCAAAATGGCATTACACCTGGGCTTTGGTTAAGCTGCTGTGATTAGCACCCCCCTGCTCATGTGACGCTTGTTACAAAACTGCTGGAGATTAGGGACATTGGCTTTACCACTCAGGTGAGAAATGACACCTCCAGCCTTGTGATGTCCCAGGCATTGCACAGGAGCCCAGATTCTGAGATGAGGACACAAGAAGTATTTTCCTAATTGACCAATGACTCACCTTGAGATCCAGGCCTGGGTTGTTGTGTAGGGACTTGGTACACATTAGGAGCTGCTAGAAGAAACAATAAGTTCAGTAGCAGGCACAAGGCAGCTCCGGGATATGTGGGGAGCTACACTTGGTTGTTAGCAATGAAGGTTTTCCAGCTGCAGATGCTTCCTACTGTCCTTGCTCACAGCAGGCCAATATTCTTCAGAAGGCACCAGGTGCCACCATTCCCTCCCCATGCCACCTCCAAGTATCTCCCTGAGCTGCCTATGAGCTCCCATTTTATGCCAGCACCATTGTCTTCTTCCTAGGAAATCCCTTGTCTCAGGATGCACAGGTGGGGATTTGCCTGCCGCAGCCAAGCCTCCCAGAAGCTGGTAACTCTCCCTTCTCCCCAACACATCCCAGGACCACCCAAATCTCTGGAGAGTCTCCACTCCAAGCAATTGACACCTGAAGCATCACCTGCATGCCTATGGTTAATGCACAGCTTGGAAACTCACTCTTCCTTATGAGGGTGAAGATCCGCCGCTTGCAAAACTTCTTTTGCCAAAACACTCCCATGGCCCCAAGCAACAACGTCACTGGGAGGACCACCATGACCCAGGGAATGAAGCTGCCATTCTCTGCAACAGAAAGTGAGGGGGCCAAGAAGTGAAGGATGAAGAGAGAGAGAGAGAGGGAGTCTCATTAATGGAGCCTCAAGGTTGAAAGCCCAGGACAACAACATATAGAAAGGGAAAAGGAGGTTTATCACAGGAACCTTTTCCTCCAGGGCTGTTACCTTCCTTCACAGTCTTGCCTGTGGCTACACTTGAGGTCAGGAAAGTGCCAGCAGCTGGCTTTGTATCTGCTCCACCGGCGGTTCCTCCAGCAGTTGGATGGACATTGCCAGAGGTCACATTGCTCAGGAGGAGGCTGGTATGGGTTGCCCGTCTGGAGTCAACAGGATGCTCAAGGTGGGAAGGCTGGCTTTTCCCACGAGGGGGTTGGGTGTGTTGGGAGGGCACCCCGGCTGGCTCAGTGCCCTGGGTACTGTTTTTAAATGTTGCAAGCGTAGGGACCCAACTGAGGACGTTGGGAGATGGCTCCTTGCACACTTGGTCGTGGGTGGCGTTTCCTTTGGTCATCACTACCTTGCTCAGCTTGGCACAGCTGGGGAGGTGAAGGAGAGCATGAGATGGAGGGTGGCAGAAGGAAATACGTCAAGGCTCTCTGGGGGATGAGTTTCTCCATGCGACAGACCTCCCTTGGGCTGGCTGTGCCTGTATCTACGCAACAGGATCACCCACCTTCTTTTCCCCATAGCATCAGCTTTTCAGCCAGATCCCAACCTAACTTCCATAGCACCTGAAGAAGTAGGCTGTAGCCTACAAAGCTTATGCCTCTCTGAATGAGCCAGTCTATAAGGTGCCCTCCTACCCTGCATTCACATTCAAGTTTAACTCTTCCACTCAAGTGAGCTCTGAATTAGGCAAGGAGGATTCATTCCTCTCTACTTGAATCGTCTACGGAAAGAAAGCAGTCACCAGGGGACCCCCCAGATGCCACACACTAGCCCAAAGCTGCCCCCCTCCTCCTTTACCCTCTCCCTGCCCCCAGGTGAATTTGGTTGGTTTGCACCAGTAGATCACAGGCTTCCAGCCAGCTCCTCCACCAGCTTGAAACAACAGATCAGAAACCAGCACTTACTCTGTGTGGGGCCTGCAGGTTTCTGTGCTGGAAAGCCGGTCAGAGAAGGTGCCTGGAGGACACACTTGGCAGGTGACATCTGTTTTGGAGGTGCCTGTAGAAAGGATAAATCATTGGTTCCCAGACTGGCTCCAAGGCCAAAGGTGGAAGAGGCCAGTGGGTGTGAGTGGGATTCCTACCTCTGACCTTGACTCCATACCCAGAAGAGCAGCTGGTGTGACGGTCGCATCGTGCACAAGTGTTCAGGACTGACATTTTACAGAAGAACCCTGCCCGGCACTCGCACACCCTGCTGGAATTGAAGGTGCAGGGGGCTTTCTCCACGAGGTCATGTTCTGCAAGGACGAAACAGAGGAGAAAGAGGCTGTGAGCAGCAGGGAGGAGACTCAAGGGAGGTCAGGGATAGGGCACAGAGGTACCAGGCACTTGATTCAGTGGTAAATAAAGTTACAAGACAAAGGGAGACATGTGAAGATGAGCAGGCTGCCATCTTTCAAGCAGACTGGTATATGGATGGAAGGCCTCTAGTAAATCCCAGCTCCTGTAGGCAGTGCTGCTGGGGATCTGACAGGAGGTATTTCCCTGTTCCAAGTACCAACACAGTGACCATCCCAAACATGTGCCTGTGTTTCAAACCTATCAAGGATGGAGGTATCACCAGCTCTGCTCAGCAGGAGTCTTTCCGGTGCCTTTGGTGAGATTTGGATAAAGCCCCAGATACATCATGTAGCTGTTCTACTGAGACACACAAATATAGAAATGGGATCCAAGCCACATAAAGGGGGGATAACTTTACTGCACTGCATATTAACATGGAAGGGAGCTCATGTCAGCACTGAGCTGCAGCAGATGGGTCAAGGACTACAGGCTTGCCTATGCTAGTCAGAAGGCCTAACTGCAGGATGGCTTGGGTACCAACAGCAGCAAAGCTGGTCCAAAATAGGCTGTACATGCCTGCACATGCCACACAGCCTCACTGCTATCAGCACCCAAGCTAGCTGGACAAAAGCTAGCTTAGCTAAGCCTGCTCCTCTTGCAAAACTTCCCATTGCGATGCAGACACAGCATCAGACGGGCCAGCATCTCCTCCCATCCAGGTGTACTGTAGAAAGCCAGGAAACAAAGACAAAATGAGACTAGGTGGGGGCAAGCCCTGCTAACATAACTGCAGAGGGCAGTCAAACAAATACCTGTCATGCATGACACGCAGGCCTCACAACGTGGCTTTGGATGTGCCTCCTTCAGGTACTGCTCGGGCTCGCACCACCTGCAGTCTTTGTCCAAGTTAGTAGGGCATGGTGTCTGTTTAATGGAGCCTGGCGGGGAGAAATCAAAATCTATAAAGCAAGGAAGGGCCTAAAGAAACAATCATCCTGAAGCACTTCAGTCCATGGGTACATAAGTCCCATGTATGACATGGGGACCTTCTCTCTGGGTCCATCATCATGATTGCTCTCCCATTCTTCCAACAGCAATGTGTTTCTTAGTTCCAAGCTGCAGCAAAAGTGCCATAAGTGGCAAAGGGCAGGTCAGGTAGGGAACAGGCAGCAGAAAGCAGAGAAGGAGATCAGGCAGGGCATACAGAGTAGGAAGCAGAAAGCAGAAGAGCAGATTGGGCAGAGGAAGGGGATGGCCCTTGGGGAGGGCATGGGGTTAATTTGTGGCACATCTGATAATTTGTGGCCCCCACTATCTTAGTTCAAAGTGATGAAGTAACAGCCTCCCTGCAGCAACAACAGGCTACAGTAACAATATCCTGGGGTGCAGCGTGTGGAGCTGTTAAAGTATGGGACACGGGCAAGTCCTTTGCTGAAGGAAAGACATGACTGACAAGCCTGCAGGAATAGCAAGACATAGCTGCCACACTTAGATTGCTCCTTTAGGGATTGTACAGAGAGCTCCCTTTGAATGTACAGAGTGGGAGGCTGGGCCAGATGCACTGCTAGAATATCCCCTGAAGAGCTGGCTATGGGAGTATATTCCTGGCATGGATTCTGCCATGGAGATGAGGAGAGGCTGCTCAAAGTTGTGACCACAAGTTGCTCGTACATGAGAAGCTCCACAGAAACAGGGCTCTCAGAATGGGTTGGGATGGGCCAGAGCGCTGATCATTCCTAAAATACTGGGAACGGGATAAAAATTACTTGCATCCTTTTGATGGAGCTTGATACTGTCTGGGCATCCTTAGACCTGGGAGCTCCTAACTGTACAGAACCTGACTCTGCAGCCTCAACAGCCACTCAGGGTCATTTTAGCTGTACAACATAGCATCTAACTGGCCACAAAATGTTCCTCCCTCTGCTCCTATTGTTTTTGAACACTATTGCTATTTTAGATAGCCATGTTCTCTCTCTCCGCTCTTCTTCAGCTCTTTGCATCCTGTAGGCAGACCAAGTCAACATCCTTCCCATATAAATCAAACTGGTGAATTCACAGATCTTTAGCTGTGCTAAAACTGATGTAGCCCCACTGAAGGCAATGAGTCTATGATGAGGACCCTGCCTCATCTCAGTGCATTCCAATCTGGGCAAAAGCAACTTCCTTATCCATCATTTCTTGCTCTCATGGAACCAGTTCCACAATCCCAAGTTTTTTTTTAATCTTGGCTGGTCTCACATCTGGGTGCTTATCTCATGAACACACACACTGCTGTAATCATGACAGCCACAGTACAGAATGTCCTGACACAAATTAATGCAAATGCTGAGAGCCACACACAGCCCTCACCCCACCCCCTGCAAGCCTGCTATTGGTTTCACAAAGAAATGTCAAGAATTTCCTTGTCAGCAAGAGTTTTTACAGAGGAGGACTCAAGTCGGTGAAGTACCATAAAAAGCCCTGCCCATTGGGCATATAGCCAATAGAGTGAGTTTAAGGCATTTCCAGAACTTTGTTGTTTGAAGACATTTCTTTCAACTAACCACAATGAACATTACCCTTCATGAGTCATGGCTAACTTCCAACAAACTCACTCCCTCTATTGAAAATACTCATGATCCAGGACGCTTTCTAAACTGTTCTGACTATGAAGGCATCAACAGACTTTTCCCATCACTCTGGGGACAGCACTCAGTCCAGCTCACAGTTTTACTGGGCAGTTTGAATCCCTGTAGAAACAAGGTCTTTGGTCTAATTTCCCACTGCCTGTCAAGTTATGAGTCACTTGCACTTATGTAAAGTGGCAGGAAAGACTAGGAAACCATAGGGGGAGCATTTTACACGTTCTTCATGCTCACTTTGGAAACTAACTAGGCTCAAGTTCATCTGAACGACTCAATTCTCCAAGGACTCAATTCTAAGGAAGGACCCAATTCTCCAAAACTGAGATAACCCTCTATGAGTTGTCGCGTGTCCTCATATCTCACTGACACAATATCCTGTTTGAACTGCAATCCCTAAACTGTAACTGTTGATAAGCATCAGTGGGTTAAGAGCCACTCATTGCAGATCGTTAGCAAATCTGAGGCCAGGACAGCCAGATGTATATCAGCTGCTCATTAAACTGTACGCTGCACATTTATTCAAGGACAGCAAGGACTACCATTGCCTTGGTATAGATTTTAGATGTTTCCAAATGCACTTGCATCAGGAGTTGGTGCTGTATCGCCTGCAAAAGAACCATTTTTTAATTATAAAACACCCACCTGTGGGACAGTGGTAGCAGCATTTTTTTGAAGCTTCATCGTAGAACTGGTTATTAAACTTGTCACAGGACTCGGTCAAGAGCCCTGATGCCTAGAAAACCAAACAGACCAAAGACAATTAAAAGTCAGAAACAGGAGCTGATTTATCAATTTACTTATTCATTATTCAATACATTCCCAATTCAGAACATGGTTAGAGATGCAGCCTGCAGTCAGCTTTCCCCATGAATGAGTCAGTGGGGAGGGGATACTGCAGTCCTACTGGTGTGTTTGATACTCCACTGCCTCAAAGCCAAATCCTTCTTGCTGATAGTGAACAGGACAACTGCATTTCCCACAAGGATCCTATTTTAATCCTAGATTCTGATTCTGGAATAGCCTAGCTAGATCCCTTGGAGAACCAGTCCAGGCTTTAGACTCCACACAGAACGTATCGTGATCAGGGCTGTGGAAAAGCCTGGCCAGGCTGGTTGTGACTGGTAAAGTTAATTCTTTATATTCAGTGCTGGACACAGTACATTATCTTCAGACATCCGTGAAGTGGGTCAGTTATAACCAATGATACCCTTTGTGGGTATCCTCGAGAACACCGTCTATGCTTGTGCCAATTTGGTAATCCCCTGCTGTGCTCAGCTGCTTTCTCGCCCATGGTGCAGGGTAGCAAATGGGTGTCTTTGGTCAACTGCATATAGCTCACAACATCAAGGTTGAAGGCTCTCCTAAACCTAGATGGCCCTTGAGACCAGCAGGGTTAGGGCAGGCATGTTTCTGTCATCAACAGCACATGAGAATTATGTCTGGCCTCACGTCCATCCAGCTCTGATTTCCAAGGCTGAAAACTATCTGGGTTGCTTGGAGTGCCCTTCTGGAGCAAGGCCCAGATTCACACCCCTGGATCCATAGGGAAATGCCTTATTCACCACCACCCTCTACAAGGAGGTAGGCTTGGGAGTCAATTGTTTCAACAGGGCAAGAACCTGCCTTGAAGAGCAGGGTAGTCTTGCCTGAAGATAGACCTGAAAAAACTTAGTCACAAGGTTTGTCCTTATTCCTGCAACAAAGTCCATTGATTTTGGTCAAACTCCTTATATGCATGAGAGGTTTTAAGGTTTTGATCTGATAAGGATTCTGATATTTGCTTGGACAGAAAGAAGAAAGCTTTAATATTAGCTCTGCTGAAGACACTCAGTCATGAATTGCATCAAGAAAGAGATCATGCACAAGACATTTCCATCTTGCATCAGGCCTTTTGCTTAGAACAGACTGAAATGCACCCTAGGAAATTTCAGTGGTGTGTGCTTTGTGATGAGATCATTATAATCAGCATTTCCCCCATTCCTCTCCCTTCAAGCCTGTTATCATCTGAACTGCATTTTCAGTAAGTAGCAAAAAGTGTGTAAGCATTTTCACCAGCCCCATGTTTCAGAGATGAATGAGACCAGTAGATCCCCAGCAGACTTTCCCTCTTGATGCTGCTAGAGCAGGTGCTTCATTCATTACAGTCAATTAACCTCACAGTCAGACTCTTCAGCTTGCTGTATCCTTGTTTACAACTGGGGAACCTGTGTCACAAAGAAGTCTCATGGTATAACTCAGGTCATGCAACGGCTGGAATGGAATTTGGAAGCCTTCGGTCAAACAGCAAGTGAATAGCAGAACTGGAAATAGCACCTTCTTATAACCACTAGCAAACACGACCTTCCAGAGCCAGTGTGGTCCAGAAACCCCGATCACTGGCTAAGTCTATAATGCATCGCTACCAAGCCCTTCTTCCTTCCTCATTAGACCATGTGGAGGGAATGGCAGTGTCCCTTTTGGGCCCACTTGAGTTAAATTTACAAGTTTTATTTCCAAGAAGGCTGCCTGAGGTCACAGAGTAAGGCAGCAGAATGCCTCTGCCTTTCTGTGCAGAACCAGCTCAGCTAGTCGGCCAGTCAAAGAGCAGGAAATGGCCTCATGGAAACAGTCACAGTTAGGATTCAGGACCACTCACTTCCCATGGCTTTGGTGGAGAAAGCATACTGAGAAGTGCCAGTTTTCAAGCAGTGGCTGCATCCACATCCCCTTGGCCCAACTTTTCTACAAGTTCCCTGAACAACCATAGAAAAGGTGAGTTGTTCTTTCCTGGTTCTATGGTGAAATCTCTGTATGGTTTCTAGATCAATATTGCACTCTGCTTCCCAGGGACAGAGTTGAGAACTAGCCTTTTAAGTGATTTATATGACACACCACTCCTTCCAAGTCTTTTGGAAAGATTACAGAGAATAGCTTTTAATTAAAAGGAGGCTGGGGTTTTATTACTGTTGTTATAACAGCAGCAACAATAGTCATGAATTATTGTTATTATCATTTTCTGTGATTAAAATGAAACACTGCTAGAGATAGATAGATAGACAGATAGATATTAGTAGCATTTCATTTTAATCATAGAAAAATGTAGATTAGGGATTACTTTTTTATAGCTGAAAATTGGGGATTTTTTTTTATCAGATAAAACCAGGATCCCTGGTTATTACTATTATCATCATTATAACTGTTGTCATTATTATTGTCATCATTATCACTATTGTTATCATTATCATCATCATTACTATTGGTCTCAGATACAGGAGAGGAATTTGCTCGCAGTTCCAGGGATGTTGGTCTGGAGTACAGCCTCACACCAGTGTGACTGACAGCAAAATCTGGTCTGTAACATTTTTCTTGATTAAAATGACTGCAATCAATTAGTGCAGTGTTAGCATACACAGATGTGAAACTATTAGTTTAATCTGTCATTTGTCCGCAAGAGGGCAGCTAGCCCCCAGTTTTCTGCGGCCTCTCTCCATGAAATCTACAGTCTCCTAACTGGTGCTAGTCCCAAAGCCTAGGTCTGAAAATGACACATACTAAAAATACGCTGTTCACTGCCAATATGCTGGTTCGTGTCCCAAGTGCTCAGAGTCATTGTCAAAATGGGTCTTTTTTTTTTTTTTTTTTAATCAAGATACTGACTATTTTTCACCCATTCAAGCTTTCTGCTGACTCAATCCCCACCAAATTCTTGGCCTTGCGCCTACCCCTCAGAGTTTGTCAGATGGTCACTTAATTTCCATGAGTGTGAAAATAACTTAGCATGCTCCTTCTGCAGAGGGCTCAGAAGAGGTGCTTGGCAGGGCCCACCACCTTCTCTAACATTGGTCACTCTTTTTTTTCCAGTCCTTTGGTTACTGGCTTGACAACATGTCACCATGCTGGTTGAGCCTCATTGCATACGGCCCTTGAAAATGACATGCTTAAGTGGGGCAATAACTGTGCACATAGATTTGACCCCATATACCCAGTATTCACAGCAGCCTGAACTTATTTCACGACTCAGCATGAGTTATTTAAGCCAAACAGTGCGGGAAAGAGAGCATAACTAGAATGGCGTGGGCTCCGTTCCTTTAACAGGCACCAGGTTTCTAGAACCTCAGTTTCAAAATTTCACATGTCTGATGTCAAAAGCTTACAGTAACCACCGAGAAAGCAACCACAAGACTGTGTTGGCCAGAAGTACATTTGGGGTTGCAGGGGAAAGGGGCCAAAACAAATGATAAGCTTTGCAACAAAGGAGGGTGAAGGAGGAGTCAACTTGGAAAGGTGAGGATTTCTTCCTTTGGAGAATTACAGGTGATAGTGAAATGAAGAGGCTAGCAATTGTTGCAAAGACGTCTAAATTAGACGCCTCTGTGGGACTGTGGATGAACTTGAGGGCACAAGCAGCCTGGATGGTGTCATTTACTCTTTGCTCTTCCCCAATCAAAGCAGAGTGTAACCAACTGTTGTGGCAAGGAATTAAAGCTATATGTCAATGATTGGGTGTATGTGGGCCTGAGCTGATGCAACACACACTGAAGAACAGGAGGCAGGAATTAACATATCCACCGTAAGCACATTTACCTCTATGCAAATTTCAACTTCCTACATGTCACTTTGGAGCAGGACATTGGACTGACATCAAGGTTGGCTCATTTGGTCATGCGGATGACAACAGACAAGGCTGCATACAAATAATAATGCTTTGCTTTTCAGCTGCAAACTACAAAACATTTTATACTGGTCATTAACTAGCAATACCCTATGCTTACCGATGAGGAACAGTGGGGGTAGCAAGTCAATCGCAGTGCCAGGGACAGAATACAGCTTTCCTAACTCCCGGAGCAATCAATCAAGTCTAGCACTGGCATACTGGAGTGACACTCTGTCCTTTCTTGATTTGACTATTAAATCAGACCATGGAAATGGACAAACTTATGCAACTTTCCCTCACCCACGGAGAGGTTTGCGGGAAACCAAGAATCCCCCTGTGCTTCATTTTTGTCCTTTTTCCTGAGTGTCCCAGCAGCAGCAGCTCTCCATTTGCAGAAGTCCAGAAACCTCTCTCTCTTGCCTGATCCACTGGGAGAACAAATAAATGCCTGATTGCTTCTCTGAGGCACAAGATCCCAAGGCTGACGGGGGAAATCACAAATGCTCACAACACTGGGGAGGGATTAGGCCAAGCCAGAATCCTTTCAATGGCCTGACCACAAGGCTCCAGCCGCACAGTGACTCATGAGTGTAAGGTTGTGAAAACTCACTTCAAAGGAAGATCTCTGTTCTTAGCAGCATGCTGACACTTTCACAGCACATTTGACAAGAACGGCTTGCTACAGAGCATGATCAGCATGACAGTGGGAAATGACAGATTCTCTTTTTCTGTGAGCAGCACATTTGAGTGAGGGTAATGGTAATGTCACAGGTATATAACAAGGCATTTGAGACAGGCTGTGGGGCCAAAGGCTCCAGCCCAGTTGCAAGGTGTAACACTAACTGCAGGCTGCTCAGGAGGACTGGGCCAATGAAGGAGATAATTAGCAGCCACAGGAAGTAAAAGGCTCCCAAGGAGCAGCATCAAGTGGAGCTGGAGGCACTTTTGGGGGAGGGGGGCTGAAAAGGACTGGGACCTGTGAGTTAACCCTTTATGGGCTGTTTGGGTTAGAGTGTGAAGACTGATTGATATAGGAGGGTGCCTGTGTGACAGGTGTGCCCTGGGAATACAGACTGTATTGCGTTTTAAAGACTCTGAGC